CCCCAAAACCCCAAAACCCCAAAACCCCAAAACCCCACACCAATGGCCATCATTGAACTTAATCATATTATTAGTATTATTAAGCTCTTGATGAAATAAAAGACTTTTGAAAATACTGTTAGAGATGAATAAGATTTTGGTCTTCTCTAATAGAGTCTCTAAGGTGCAAGGCATTGCTAAGACCAATGAAGTCTTGTTTTTGAATGCATTTAGTAGCTTCTTTGTCAATTTTGACAAGGATTAACAACAGCCAAGCAAGACTCTTACTCAAAACTTAGAGGATGTATGGCTTAGGATTCGGAACAAGTTCCAACTGAAGTGAGTATCTCTACCAACTGTCTCTTTGTGTATGAGAAGTTAGTGGTAGCCAGTCTACCATGCAGTAAGATTGCACAATAGTCGTAGTACCTGGCACTCAGTTCTTCGTCTCTGGTTCCTCAGATGTAGGTCTTCTTCCCGTTGGCCACAATATAAGAGTTGTACATCCCATTCTTATGACAGACTCCGATGTACCTTGATCTCATGGTCTGATTAGCACCTTCACTTGCTTGGGACTTGGAAGTGGCTCTAATTATGAACTCATCTGAGTCTGGAATGTTCTCTATCTCGCTGAGTATTTTGGAGTCTAAAGTTATCAAAGATTCAAGAAGCAACGAAGAGCAAGTATAAAGCTCATGCACAGAGTATTATCAAGCTCAGGATCAGACAGAATACATGCAAGGTAATTACCTGATCATAGTGAAGAAAGTCTTTGGAGGATCTTGCCCCTTGCCTTATGCTTTCTTGGTATAGCAACAAGATCAAGTTTGCTGATCTTCCTGTCAAAGTTAATAGTTTCTGGAGTTACTTCTTTGGAGTTTTCTGCAGTGCACTTTTCTGAAGGAGTGAATTCTTGCTTAGGTTTATCAGCTCTCTTGTCGAATAGAACCCTTGAAGAAGCTCATTCAGGATCCATAAAGCTTCATTGGCAATAGGCGCTAATATCTGGAATCATTTGAGCCGCCTGAACGATTGGGATCAATTGAGGAGTAGTAGGGAGTAAAACCCAGCCCATCTGAACACCTAAAGGCTGAAACATCAGGATGTTTGCGGTGAGAGCATTCATCGTTTAATTTTCTTTAATTTTATGAGAAAAGTTTGACAATAAATACCTTTCTCAAATTGCCACAGCCAAATTTTTACACACAATAAAGATTTTATAGAAGCTTAAATTTTGGCTATATTACACAAAATTCTTGATCGTTTGTACCATTAATAGCTGATAAGATAAGAAATGTTGGAACCATAAAATTCATTAACTTTTAATAATACCTTCTTCAACCCCCTGAATTTACAAATGACGACTCTTTGTCACTGTAAATTCTGAAGATATGCATGATATCTGGACAAGCGATTCAGGACTGCTGATCTGCCACAAAAAATCTATGTGGGAATAAAAATGATACGATAATAACAGAGTGTTATTTTATTGATGATTTATATGCTATTGAACCAAACTTACTCGAAAGAGCATTAACTCTTAAAATTTACCACACACCTACCTATCAAAGATAAAATTTGACCCTCTTAAACAGTTAATAACATGAAGGGTTTCATGGAAGAAATTAAATGAGTCTATAAAACACTCCTATTGAGTTTATAGTGAGAATGTGGGAATAATTTTACTTATTTTGCTTCAGGAAGATCTTCTGCCTACTTTCACTTATTTTTTTATTCAAAGAGTATAAGGGAGGATTAAAAGAGCAAAGAATAAAACAAACATTAAGTTCTTACAATGACTCCTTCCAAAATTACCAAACACTAAAACATTTCTGCACCTTCAAAGGATTCAGTGAAGAATTATAACGATTAAACTTTTGAGAAGCTAGCAATCCTCAAGCTAATCACAAGCCCTAACTCATCTGAAAAATTTGTTAACTATCATATGGAAAGATCTTCGGAGATTTTATACCTAAATTTTGAAAATCCTTTAGCGATGAGTCTCAAATAGTATTTAATCAGCTAAGTTTAAACGTAAGTCTATATTTTTAGAAATAAACCCTTGTGAACATGACAAAGGCCTCTTTTGGAAGCCCTAACTTGTAGCCATTATTGGCTAAGATATTTCTAACCCTAGACATAAAAATTCTTATCTATGAATTATAATGTCAGCAATAGTAACCATAAAAATTGCATTTATCCAATAACTTTTCTTCTTTCAATTCCCAAGGAGAACAGGATCACTGAAAGAACACTTTCAATGAAATCTTGCTCAAAAGATGCCCTCTACTGATCCTATTGGGGTAACTTAATGACTCAGCATGTCCTATGTCTGGATCACAATTTGGCAAGGAGGGAGTTCATTAAAAATTATTTGGATGCAAATTTAATTGATCTCCGTTTGAGCCAAGGCAGGACTTGTATTTATCTCACAACAAAGATATAGGCGAAAGGAGCTCAATTCTCCAGACCATTTAGTTTGTATTCCAGTTAATAAATTCCAAATACAAGGCAGGCTTTTTACATATTTTTAGATTTAGTGTGTAAAAATCATGCAACCCTCATGGATCAAGACGTTCAGAAGGTAGCCAGGAAATATCACAAATAAATTTCAAATGCAAATCTTTGTTCTATAAGGCAAATTTTAGAGCCTGGGAGATAAGAAAATAATGTTTGAAGGTTTTTATGACTATTCGTGAGAAAATTAATTAAACTAAACTTTATTCTCCATAAATCTTAACTAAATGCTTTATACACAAGTAAGCATTGACAATCAGAAGATATTCTGGCTTCTTTGGATTATTTTACAAAGAAAGATGAAATTATAACTCTTGAGACTGAAGACAACTTATAACATCCCAAATATTTTATAAATATCGTTAATTCAATTAGTGAGCGGTGGGACGGGGTTTTGGGGTTTTGGGGTTTTGGGGTTTTGGGGTTTTGG